TTGGTAACATAACATTCTACTTTCCTCTGCTCTCTCTCTTTGAAACACAAAAACAATGGAGGCTAATCAGCGTATTGCCAGGATATCAGCTCATCTCCACCCACAAAATTCCCAGGTTGTCTCTCTTTTGAATCATTTCTACGTAGTACTACATGAAGACTTTCGCATTTAATTAGTATAAAAATATGAATACGTGCAACCATTTAAGATTTAGCTAAACAACTTTCTTTTGTGCACATGACTTTTGTCATAAAACTTTGTATGGAATGGTTTTTGCAATAGATGGAAGAAAGCTGTGTCTTGAAACCTCTTGAATGCCGCGCAAAAGGAGGGGCACCTGGATTCAAAGTGGCAATCCTGGGTGCAGCTGGAGGCATTGGCCAACCTCTTGCAATGCTCATGAAGATGAACCCTTTGGTCTCTGTTCTCCATCTCTACGATGTTGTGAATGCTCCTGGTGTCACTGCTGATATTAGTCACATGGACACTGGTGCTGTGGTGAGTACTAATCATCACCATAACAATGTTTACAAACTTCATTTAATCATGAAAGACACTTAACTGTTTATGCTTTTCATTTCCTCAGGTGCGTGGTTTTCTGGGGCAGCCACAACTTGAAGGTGCTCTTACAGGAATGGACCTTGTGGTCATACCAGCTGGAGTTCCCAGGAAGCCTGGAATGACCAGAGATGATCTCTTCAATATCAACGCCGGAATTGTCAGGACCCTTTGTGAAGGAATTGCAAAGTGCTGCCCTAATGCAATAGTCAATTTGATCAGTAATCCGGTTAATTCCACAGTTCCCATTGCAGCTGAGGTCTTCAAGAAAGCTGGTACTTATGATCCAAAGAGGCTACTTGGGGTGACGATGCTTGATGTTGTGAGGGCAAACACTTTTGTGGTATGTGCTCGCAAAAAAATGATTGATAATATTATTTGCTTGGTTACGGTGCTTATGAACTAGTTATGCATTGGAAGGTTAAATTCATCATTTAAACAACTGCCACCCAAGTAGAATTGCTCAAATGAATACCAGACGGAGCTTATATGCTGCGTTATGTTTTGGCCTTTATAAACTTGTTTTGATCCTGTGTTACTTTCTTTTGCAGGCTGAAGTTCTGGGACTTGACCCTAGAGAAGTTGATGTTCCAGTAGTTGGAGGACATGCTGGAGTAACAATTCTTCCTCTTTTATCACAGGTGTGTACATTTGTTTTCGCTTGTCGGTGTTAAGAGTGCAGATTATGTGGCTATCCAACAATTTTGGCGCTCTTTACAGGTTAAGCCTCCATGCAGCTTCACCAAAGAAGAGGTTGAATACCTCACCAAAAGGATTCAAGACGGTGGAACTGAGGTCGTTCAGGTACTGCAGCTGATGAAACTCCTATTTATAAGGGTTCAGTATGGCACATTTCAACAGTTTTTGTTAGTTATCATTTGCTTGTGCGAAGATAAGATTGTTTTTGGCCAGGAAGATACCATTTTTTGTATAACTATTCTAGTATATGTAGTTCCATTAATGTTCAACCGTCTTGGTTTGTCAAAAGAAGGAACTGAATTTTCTTTTGGGATGTACAACTATCTAATATGCATCTGATTTTCTTAAATTCTGAAGCCAACTACTCCCGGTAGCTCGATTCTGAAATATGAATTCTGAAACCCCGTCCACAATTTCCCAGTTTGTTGCATTGTGTTTTAATTTACTTCTTAAAACTGAAAATTTTGTGGTATCGGTTGCAGGCAAAAGCTGGGGCTGGTTCTGCAACGTTGTCAATGGTTAGCGCGCTATGAATTGCCAAGTTTCAATGTTTTAAGCGACTTTGATGACAAAATGTCATCCATACTATTTCTGCAAACTGAAAACTTTAAGAAGTAACGCATTGCAAACGTACACAGGCATATGCAGCTGTCAAATTTGCAGACGCTTGCCTTCGGGGCTTGAGGGGAGATGCTGGTGTCATTGAATGCGCATTTGTAGCTTCTGAGGTATCTTTTTCAAATTTCTGGTTATATCCACAATTTGGTAGGATTAATTTCTTTTATATTCGTGATTTCTTCGTTCAACTTCTGATAGTCTAATATGTTTGATTATGATAGGTGACAGAACTCCCATTCTTTGCAACCAAGGTACGACTTGGTCGCTCTGGAGCTGAGGAAGTATACCAACTTGGCCCCCTAAATGAATATGAAAGGTAAGCTGACCAAGTGAAACAACTCACCATGATTTGTTTATCGCTAGAACAGGATTATTCAGACTTGTAACCTTACGGCTATTAATGTTGTCTCTCTATCAGAATTGGATTAGAGCATGCAAAGAAGGAGCTGGGAGAGAGCATCCAGAAGGGGATCTCCTTCATCAAGAAATAACTTGAGTCTCAACCTAAGCTCTTATGTAAATTTAAAAAGAGTAGTTTTCTTGTATGCAGACTTCTTTGGGAAGAACCTCTGTTACTTGCCTGATATATAATATCTGATGTGAGAACTATGCAAGAGCTCAGAAACTCTTGTTTTTTCCTGGCTTAAGAAGAAGTTGATCACACCAAAACTGGGACAAAACGTAGCATAAAGAGCAAAGAACTGGGAATTTTCGTTGAGCGTCAAGAACAAAATAATTGTTAACTTACTTAGCATAAGACTGTTTACAATTTACATTCTGATCATACTATATACTCTCACGGTTGGAAAAAGGAAAACAGGGACTTGAACAAAAATGGGTCCCGTCCAATTTGCCAATTACAGGGTGAAGGGACTGGGTGGAGGGTGCACAACAGGCATCCTAGACATACTTGCATTCCCAGAAATCACATTTGCTGCCACGGTGTCCTCCACAACCACAGGGTTAACCTGAACCACTCTTTCTGGTATAACCTTCTCCCCATCAACCTTGGCCAGCACCTCAAAGTGCATCCTCACAGACTCGGGCTTCGTCCTCCACTCTGGAAAACCTTTCCAATCAAATCCATTGTCTCCTTCCTTCAGTTTCTTCTCAACCCCAAAACCTATCTTCACAAACGTCTGCGCCGACACATCAGCCTTCAACAGCTTGAAGGAACCCTTCTTATTAGCCTTAGGGCCCAACACAGACGCCAGCAATTTCTCAAAGCCAACTAGATTCGAGTTTGAGCCATTCACAGAAGCAAACGGCCACATTGTGGTGAAATGTTTAGGAGTTAGGACTGTAGTGGCATCATGAAGATCAATTGGCGAAAGGGCATCACTGGGCTGGGATTTGGCAGGGGATGATAACTCCACAAGGCCTGGGGCGAGGCGCTTTAATTTAAGCCTATTGTGGGGAGATGGAGACGATGAGGTGGGGGATGTGAGTGAGGTAGGTCCAACTATGCGGAGGGAGAGAAGTGGAGCGCCTGGATTGAGGGAAGAACGACGCAGTTGCTCAGCCAGAGCCAGAAGAGCAGAGGCAAATCCGGTTTGAGTTCTGTTGAGAGGCAATGGCAGATCAATTGGGTGGCGCAGACTCACTGATCTGGCACCCTTCACCGTAACCACCGCCCCTTCTGCCAATATCACTTTCTTCAACACACCAGCATCCACATCATGCTACACAGCAAACAGAACCAATAAGAAACTCTAAAAACGATAATCAAAGACAAGTCCTTTTCCAATCAAGATGGAAATCCTAAACCGAATTGTAAGACACGAATTACACAATAACAATTAAGAAACACATGATCTAAGCCAACGAATTGAGCCAGTAACTAGAATGAGCCAAGGATATAAAGCGCAACGTACCGGTAAGGATATCCTCATATCATTGGCATCCTGGATCCAAATCTCCATGGGTCCGGCGAGCTGAAACGGAGCCAAAACGGGCAACCCATCATGGTGGTCCTTGTCCTCCTTCCCTTTTTCGACCAACCCATTTCGGTCAGCGGGTCGGACCGGTTCTTCAACCCTGAAGATGGGCAAATCCACAAACTCCCAGCGGTTCACGTCCTCCAACAACTTGAAAGGGAGGACCTCGTTGTCGATTTCCACGTCGAATTCATACGCCACCGAGTGGCCCACCTGCGCGTCCCTCATGTCAAACCCGGATACCTTGAAATCATCCGCCTGGAACCCTAGCCCCTTCACTATCGCCTCCTTCAAATCCTACACCCAAAACCCAAAAAAAATAAAATAAAATTAAAAAGAAAACCTTACAAGCTCCAGTTTCATGGGAAATTATCTGCCAAGGTTGTGATTAAGAGAATTGTTATTATGACTACTACTTACGGAAATGGCCTTGGGGAAGGTGGGGGGATTGATATTGGAATGGGAGACCATAACGGCGGTGCCGGAGAAGGACAGGCTTGTAAGTATAATGAAGGTTAGGGTGAGATGACGAAAGAGTTGTGGCGGAGACATGGTGATCGGTGCCGGAGGGGTTGAATTGAATGGACAGACAACGCGGAATGATCTGAAAGAAGAAAAAAAAAAGTTGGAGATTCTGGTTGTGGAGAGAGGTTGACGACGATGGTGTTTTTTTAGTTTATTTTTTGTGGGTTTATTTAAGGAAAGAGAAATCTAGATTATCGTGGAGGAGGTGATGGGGGATAGTGACGTGGACAGAACCAGCCAATGAGAAGAGAGAAAGTGATGCGAAAAAGAGGAAGTGATGCGTTGGAGAAATAAGATTGGCTCGATTGGGTGGCATTTTCTGGAGGAGTTTTTGTGTACTGACGTGGAAGGAACCGAAAATTCCCGCTAATTAAGCAGGAGTCGTTAGAACCGGCACGTCGTTGGGTTTAAGCTGGGTCAGGAAGTGCATAATTCTCAAAAGAAAAAGACGGGTCGTTCGATGTGCTGTCGTTTAGGCGGGAATAACAAAATGGCGTCGCCCGGACTCGAACCGGAGACCTTCAGTGTGTTAGACTGACGTGATAACCAACTACACCACGACACCGTTGATGGTGTTAGTGTCCTTTCTATCAATAGAAATAAAAAGCAACGTACCTCCAAAACGGTGTTTTGTAGCCGGCCTTTCTATTTGGGAGTTAAAAATGGCGTCGCCCGGACTCGAACCAGAGACCTTCAGTGTGTTAGACTGACGTTCTACACCACGACACCGTTGATGGTGTTGGTGTCATTTCCTTTTTATAGAAAGCAACTATTTGAAACGTACCTTCAAAACCAGCTGCCGTTAATGGTGTAGGTGTCGTTTAGCCGGCCTTTCTATTTGGGAGTGAAAAAATGGCGTCGCCCGGACTCGAACCGGAGACCTTCAGTGTGTTAGACTAACGTGATAACCAACTACACCACGACACCTTTTTGTTCAGAAGCTCAAGAATCCTCAATTTTCCAACAAGAATATTGACATCCTTTGTCTCCAACGGTGGTGAATAATATATATCCTGGACAAACAAACAAATGTACATATTGTAAAACGAAGGATAATTAAAACAAGAGGGGATATGCATGCATATCCTGATAAGGTCCAATGACGTACAATAAACTTGAAGATGAAATCAAGTGATAAAAACCTCAAATTTTAAAGAGTGCAATTATAGCTAGGCCTAAACTGTATCTGATTTCCAATCAGCACTCATGCTCATTCATAGCAAAGCTAAGGGTTTATCAAGTATTGGTCCCATGTCTGAGGTCTGGACAAGTAGCAAGTTGTTTGCAACGTTGGTGTTGCCACTTGCCAGGCTTCTAGTCCCTTTGCAGCAGTCCAAATTCCTTTTTGTGGCAGGTGATATGTCTCCCTTTTTGTTGCAAGCCTATATACGAGTCCAATTTCATACTGCAATTTAATCAGCCCATCTTTTCCCACAAGGAAACAAACGTTGGCCCATCTTATGTTTGATCAAGGGAGTTCGGCCCATTCTATTATTTGGAACTTAATTCTACATACGAAATGGGTATATGACAAAAACCCTACTATATCTAATGGTAGGTTTGGGTCTAGTATTTCTCAAATGAAATTATTTCCAAAACTTAACTAAAGATCTCTCTATTTTATTCGGACAGAATAATGCATATGATTTACAAGAGGGTACCAAATAAAGCAAGCGGTCTTATTGTTCAAACAAGAGCTAAGAAAAACGAACCTTCCCCTATACCTTTTTTTTGTCTTTCTATCAATAATTTCTGCGCCTTCCCAAGTAGAAGTCGGATTTCAATGCTTTGTTGAGGTCAAACATTCTAGAATGCCTCCTCATACCGTCGGTGCCAACATTTTGTGCCTGCATTTGTACCTTTTATTAGCCCCCCCTAATCCCTTTCCCCATTTTCCAATGGCCTGTCCATCATATTTCAACATACTTGTTAGCAGTCCAATTAGCATGATAACACGCGTCCCTTTTAGATTAAGGGAAAAAACGTAAAAAGAAGAAAGGGAGAAAGAGAGATTTTAGAGTCTCTCTTAGTACACCAAACAACATTAATTACTCCTCGGTTATGGTCGAGATTATTGGACAGTTGAGGAAAAGAGATGAATAGCTTGAAGAACCCAAGGACAACATGAAATAGTATCCATACTTTTTTTTGCATAAAATGCTTTTCATCGCATGTGTTACTAGCAGTGATACACATGGAGGAGGAGGAGTTTGATGCAAGATTTTGCTGGTCTAAAGAACTGGGTTAGGGTGTGACTCTGAGTGAATGGAATCCTTTTTTGTCTAGTGTGAATGGAGTACTAAGTTGAAAATTGTTCATTTCATGAAATACACGGGATACTAGTTTCTACGTTCTTCTCCACACCTATACAGTGCATTGCAGTTAAATTGAAAGTTCTGCCTCTGAAAGCAGTCTCAGCCGACTCATAATTTACCCAACATACCATGGTTGTCATCAGATCACAAATCTCAAACAATAATGACTGGTCAATATTTACTTCCCTCGGTCCAAGAAAGGGTGATTAATAGCAAACGACTTTAGATAATTTCCCTACCAATAGTAAAAAGAAATACTCCCTCTGTCCTTTTTTATTGATGTTTAAGGTATCTATACACATATTAAGAAATGTATTTAATAGGTATAAATTTGACAATTTTGCATTAGGTTAAGACTAAACTACCTCTTATTTAAAAAAAGATAATAGAGACAGTCAAAGAATCTAGTATTATGAGGATAAGGCAAAATGGAAAAAATATCATTTAATGTTCATCAAATATTCTAAAGCGACAATATTTTTTGGACAATTCTAAATAGCTAAAACGACAATAAAAAAGGGACAGAGAGAGTATCTGCTAAAGTATTCTGAATTCGGAATATTGTAATTAAAGGTATAGCAGTTCCGACCAACTAATGTATCTCTCCGGGTTAGTTCATTATGAGTTGTGTGCTATAAACATATATAATAAAAGATATTTTTGTTTTCGTGCTAAATACACGCATGTTCGATCAAGAAAACATAAAACAATCAAGAAAGTTGCTCCCCATCTTCTTTAACCTTCCAAAATGTCCTCCAACAATATTAGAAACAAGGTGCATTTAGGAGAATGTGGGTCCCATTTGATCGATAAAGTAATAAAAGGAAAACTAAAATTAACTTTTAATGGAAAAAAAGAGAAAAATATTTTATGGCTTAAAAATCACCAATAATTTTCGTGGGCCACACTAATCGATAAAATAATTTTTGCTTTAGCAGAATTTTGAAACTGAAAAAAGTAATAAAAGAGTAAATGAGGTTAATTTTTTTGTGAAAAAAAGAGAAAAACATTTTATGCCCTGTAAAAACCTGAAGAAAAAAATATTAATTGTTTAAATTTTTTAAAAAATTATTTAAACTTTTAAAATTAATCTTTTATTTTTTTTATTTTTAGAAAAAATATTTCTTATTTTATCAATTAGCAGGGGCCACAAAAAATTTGCGTGACAAAAGCTACCTAGTATGGTTCAATTCTATTAGGCTAAATTGACAGAAGAACATAATAGAACCATTTGATATAATATAGGTATAGGATAGGCAAAAAAAAGTACAACTACATAAAATGAACCGAACGAAATAGTATAGGAATGTGGGGGGTTAATAATTTGCCACCTATCACTCCAAGTGGCATCAATTAACGGTCAAACTAACAGAAAATAGACGGAAGGATGTGATATAACGAACTTATTTAGTACAGGTATAGAATGAAACGCCCCGACCCGTATTTACCGTACACAGTAAACACGTGCCGGAACTGTGACAACCCAGCCCAATAAACCCAAGCATACAGTGTGAACAACAATAACTCGGGCCCCACAGCCCAATACAGTAAACAACATAAACAACATAACCGGCCCAATGGCCCAACAATAATGAAAACATGCACAGCGGAAGACTTAAAGACTCACTAACACTGTATGCGTAACAGATGCAACCTATGGATCCAAGCCCGTCCAAGGGATAACGCCGCAGCCTGTCGGGAATGCACCAAGCCTGTACAACAAACAACTCATCCTACGGGATGAAACCCCGCAGGCGAGGGGTGAGTCCGAAACGCTCACCGACGAAAGATAAACA